ACGATCCCAGTATCTGTAGTCACGGTTTGTATTTAGTTCTTGTCTTGTCAAGCGTTTGTCTTGACCAAACTCGTGCAGGCATCGCAATGACACCAGTCTTAGTCTGAATTCATCTTTAAGATGTTTACCTAGACACTCTAGTAGTTCTACCATTAATTCATTATTATCAATTAAACCTAACAAACCGCTCATGAATGTGTACACCATTTCAGTGCTTTTTTGTGCCGCCATTACGCCTTTCTTCACCAAATACCGAGCAACAAGAAACTCTTGAATGGTGAAGTGCGTGAAGCTGTATTCACAGATTGGCTTTTGAAATGGCAAATTATTACTTGAAACAGGATAACAAAATATGAGATTACTAGATTTTATGTACAATAATTCATTTTCTGATAATATTAGATTTTCTAAGTCTTGTGAGTTAAAACTAAATCTATTTTCTTGAGATAACTGTGCCGCTAACTTTGAAAAATTRTCGAGCGTTTTGKMAACAGCCAACGAAGCGGCTWTGTCATCWAAACTAAGTATTRCTYTGTTGTAATTMYTTTCTATRCATTGAATTRCTTGAAAATAWAACTCTGTAAGTGTGWRAGGACATGAATTATCGTGTTTTTTGATTTTCCACTCGATGARCACRCACATCAACAAACAACGGAAAGGRACRCGACCAAATGAAATGTAGTGCKCGCTTTCTTYAAYCTTACYAAGTGCTATGWTTTTTACTTCTTCTGGTTTTGTACTGAAATATTTCTTRACATATGCAATAAYCTCTGATTCTGARAATCCTGTWATYTCGACATAGTGRTCAGGSWGYATTTCWTTGTCTARCRCGTTCGCTTCGCTCGGMCTGGAGGTAACCATGATGACAGCATCGGCCAAGATTTTTTTTCTGAMTAGTTTGCTTASAAGAGCTGCYAYTGGCWTCYTGSTTTTACTATCATTAGGAAATTGACTTTCAAAATCTCYGAGYATTTTGTTGCTGTCTTTATATTSGTCAAAGCCATCGAGAACAATCAATAACTGCTCTGGATGCTGAAGAATGTAGTCCATCACATTCTCGTCTATCAYGGWTCCAYCGTTCAATAAAGGGCAAAGATTCAGCAGTTCTCTGAGGTTCARCGTTTCYTYKTTYGAMAAATTGTTCAATTGTCTAAACGTTATGAGGTAAGTAAACTTRATTTCAGGGAKCKATATGGAATTGGTAGACAAATCACGAAGAAGTTTCTGCGARAACAGYGTTTTCCCTAYGCCTGGTTCACCTGAAAGTAATATTCTCTTGACGGTAGTGTCTTTTTCGTCCTCGTCGACAAAAATCTCACTACATTGCTTGATTTCAGTCAGCGTCTTACGATCAGGGTGATATCCATGAGGTCTTTGAATTTGTTCTGGCAAARGTTYTGGGCATCTTTTTTTCCCATGGTGAACAATCARKTTGGTAAAAATATCATCAGTTTTCATTGATTGTATTATTCCTTTKGGCTGTAGTTCAMGTTCTGYTTGCTTTAATATGSTTTTCTTGAGTTTTTTTGAGTACAATTCCATATCTGGGAAAGAGGAAAACACCAGTTTAGAGGAAATAAGGAAACAGTACTGTTATTCGTTTGTCTTTAACCAGTTGATTATTTTCATTACCGTGCCCAGGCCGAACGGGCCTGCAGCACGCTTATAAAATGCAGCGACTTTATTTTTTGAATTTTTATTTTTCTACGTCGCAGTTTAGCAATCCCAAGGGACCCACAATCCAGAGTTCCAAGGTTCGATCCTCGACTGGAGCACCTCTGAAAAATTATTTCTTTTTCCTTTCTTTCTTTTTTAACTAAAATATAGTTCAGAGTTCTAGTCATGTTAGATTTTTATTAATGTTTACGAGCCGCGTTTGTTAAATTTTAGGTTTTCTATAGAATAATGGATAGAATTTGAAAATTTGAAATTCCCGACTAAATAGGAATGATATATAATGACATTTTCTCTGGGTCTGGCCAGCCAGTTCTGACAAATGGAAAGAGCCCTTAGAAACAAGATGATACTCGAACAACGCCGTCGAACGAAGGATCGCGTTCGAACCTCGYAYCGAGCTARCAGWTTTTTTTTCTTTTTCTCTTTTTTAATAAAATATAGTTGTTATAGTTATCTTGAAATATTTTTGTAGATTTTGTTTAATAATTATTTTCGAGCCATTATTTTGATTTAACACAAAATATTATACTCGAATAGCGTCGAACTTAGGATCGCAAGAGCAGAATAAACAAAAAACAACAACTTCCTTTTATCTTCATCATTTTCATCCGTAAGTCTTTTTTGATCTTATGCTCATAGTGCAGCGCGCACCGGCACTATTGAAAGAGTGCTGAATAAAATATCGCAATTTGGTATAGATTATACAAAGGAATACACATAGAGTGGTTTTCATTAACCAGTGAAACAATGACACTTTARCGTATTTATCGCTATTACACTTTGGCTCTTTTGTTTTTTATTGTCTCTACGCGACTATTACGATCTATTACACTCTAATTATTACACTTTGTTTCACGGGTTTATGAAAACCACTCTAATTCACTACAATTTAGCGCTATTGAAATACCCGTAAAGTTTTTCACCATTTTAGTGTTTTCACTCGATGTTACAAATTCTCTTGGTCATATGGACAAACCCTAATAAGTAGCACCTGTTATGTGA